TTGTTGCAGCTCACGGCTACTTTGGACGTCTAATCTTCCAATATGCTAGTTTCAACAACTCTCGTTCTCTACACTTCTTCTTGGCTGCTTGGCCTGTAGTAGGTATTTGGTTTACTGCTTTAGGTATCAGTACTATGGCATTCAACCTAAACGGTTTCAACTTCAACCAATCCGTAGTTGATAGCCAAGGTCGTGTAATCAACACTTGGGCTGATATCATCAACCGTGCTAACCTAGGTATGGAAGTTATGCACGAGCGTAACGCTCACAACTTCCCTCTAGACTTAGCATCTGTTGAAGCTCCTTTCGTTGGCTAAACAATCTTGTTTTAGAGGCAAGCTGCATATATAACAACTGTGCGCAGGAATCCTGCGCACGGTTGTAGTTTGCTATATTTTCTCTTTTTTGTATGTTGTATGGCGAACAAATTGATCAGAATGTCCTTTATGTTTGATATAAAATAAAAATATATAAAATATAGCAAAGTTTCCATTATTTGCTTCACTTCGCATTTTTTATTACTTGCCTAGTAAATATACAGGTTAAATTCCTAACTTTCACTTATTTATGTATTGGTCCATTAAGCACCTTAAATGTGTGTCATAATATATTTAGGAGTCTGTCCTGGGTCACTTCTGTATCATAGTTGTTCTAGTTACAGACTTAATAAAGTGGGTAGCAATTCTAAAATATTACCCTCTCAGAAGCTGATTCATGATTTTGGGCAGGTGTTTCCTTTGTCTCGTCTGAAGAGAGGAGAATCTCAATGACTATTCGTTCACCGGAACCAGAAGTCAAGATTGTGGTAGACAATGATCCTGTAAAAACCTCTTTTGAAAAATGGGCTAAGCCAGGTCATTTCTCTCGTGCGTTAGCAAAAGGTCCTACTACAACCACTTGGATTTGGAACCTGCATGCTGATGTTCACGATTTTGATAGCCACACTAGTGATCTAGAAGAAATTTCTCGTAAGGTTTTTAGTGCACACTTTGGTCAATTAGCTGTCATATTCATTTGGTTAAGCGGAATGTATTTTCATGGTGCACGCTTTTCCAATTATGAAGCATGGTTAAGTGATCCAACCCACATCAAACCTAGTGCTCAAGTTGTTTGGCCAATTGTAGGTCAAGAAATTTTGAACGGCGACGTAGGTGGTGGATTCCAGGGAGTTCAAATTACCTCTGGTTTATTCCAAATGTGGCGTTCTTCTGGAATCACTACTGAACTAGAGTTATATTCCACTGCAATTGGTGGTTTATTAATGGCAGGCTTAATGTTTATCGCTGGTTGGTTCCATTATCATAAAGCTGCACCTAAATTGGCTTGGTTCCAAGATGCAGAATCTATGATGAACCACCATTTAGGCGGTCTAATAGGCTTAGGATCTTTGGGTTGGGCTGGACACCAAATTCATGTATCTTTGCCTATCAACCAATTGTTAGATGCAGGAGTTGACCCTAAAGAAATTCCTTTGCCTCACGAATTTATATTTAACAGAGACTTATTAGCTCAGTTATATCCTAGCTTTGCGAAAGGTGTAACTCCTTTCTTTACCTTAAACTGGGCAGAGTATTCTGATTTCTTAACTTTCCGTGGCGGTCTAAATCCAGTTACAGGAGGTTTATGGTTAACTGATACAGTTCACCACCACGTAGCAATTGCAGTCCTTTTCCTAGTAGCAGGACATATGTATAGAACTAACTGGGGAATTGGTCATAGCATGAAAGAAATGTTAGAAGCTCACAAAGGGCCTATGACTGGTGAAGGTCACAAAGGACTTTATGAAATTTTGACCACTTCTTGGCATGCTCAATTAGCATTAAACTTAGCTACTTTTGGATCTTTAACAATTATCATAGCACATCATATGTATGCTATGCCTCCTTACCCATATTTAGCAACTGATTATGGTACTCAGTTATCCTTATTCACACACCACATGTGGATTGGTGGATTCTGCGTTGTAGGGGCTGGTGCTCATGCAGCTATCTATTTGGTAAGAGATTACGATCCAACTACTCAGTATAACAATCTATTAGATCGTGTTCTACGTCATAGAGATGCAATTATTTCTCATCTTAACTGGGTATGTATCTTCCTAGGATTCCATAGTTTTGGTTTGTATATTCATAACGATACTATGAGTGCCTTAGGTCGTCCTCAAGATATGTTCTCTGACACAGCTATTCAACTTCAGCCTGTGTTTGCTCAATGGGTTCAAAATACTAACGCTGCAGCACCTGGTTTCACAGCACCTAATGCAGCTGCCGCTAGCAGTATCACTTGGGGTGGTAGTGAATTAGTAGCAGTAGGTGGGAAAGTAGCAATGTCTCCTATTCCATTAGGAACAGCTGATTTCCTAGTGCACCATATTCATGCATTTACTATTCACGTTACTGTTTTGATTCTTTTGAAGGGTGTATTATTTGCTCGTAGTTCTCGACTAATCCCAGATAAAGCTAATTTAGGCTTCCGCTTCCCTTGTGATGGTCCAGGACGTGGTGGTACTTGCCAAGTTTCTGCTTGGGACCATGTATTCTTGGGTCTATTCTGGATGTATAACTCTATTTCTGTAGTAATTTTCCATTTTAGTTGGAAGATGCAATCAGATGTATGGGGAACTGTAAATGCTCAAGGAGTATCTCATATTACTGGAGGGAACTTTGCTCAAAGTGCAACTACCATTAATGGATGGTTGCGTGATTTCTTATGGGCACAAGCATCTCAAGTAATTCAATCTTATGGATCTGCTTTATCTGCATATGGTTTAGTTTTCTTAGGTGCTCACTTCGTATGGGCATTTAGCTTGATGTTCTTGTTTAGTGGCCGTGGTTATTGGCAAGAACTAATTGAATCCATTCTATGGGCTCATAATAAGCTTAAAGTTGCTCCTGCTATCCAGCCTCGAGCTCTTAGTATTACTCAAGGGCGTGCTGTAGGAGTAGCTCATTACCTTCTGGGTGGGATTGCCACAACATGGGCATTCTTCCTAGCAAGAATTATTTCAGTAGGATAATGGCTAGGAGGGTTTTAAAGCATTATGGCATCAAGATTTCCAAAATTTAGCCAGGGCCTATCCCAAGACCCAACCACTCGCCGTATTTGGTTTGGAATTGCTACTGCACACGACTTCGAAAGTCATGATGATATCACCGAAGAACGGCTTTATCAGAAGATTTTTGCTTCTCATTTTGGTCAGTTAGCAATTATCTTCTTGTGGACCTCTGGGAATTTGTTTCACGTAGCATGGCAGGGCAATTTTGAAGCGTGGTCTCAAGATCCTTTGCATGTTCGTCCTATCGCACATGCAATTTGGGATCCTCATTTTGGACAACCAGCAGTAGAAGCTTATACTCGAGGAGGCGCTTCTGGTCCTGTAAATATTTCCTATTCCGGTGTATATCAATGGTGGTATACTCAAGGTCTACGTTCTAACCAAGATCTTTACACAGGAGCACTTTTCCTATTAGGATTAGCTGCTGTTTCTTTAGTAGGTGGATGGTTACATCTACAACCTAAGTGGAAACCTAGTGTTTCTTGGTTCAAAAATGCTGAGTCTCGTTTAAACCACCATTTAGCTGGTTTATTTGGAACCAGTTCTTTGGCTTGGGCTGGACATATCGTACACGTAGCTATTCCTGAATCTAGAGGACAGCATGTAGGATGGGATAATTTCTTAACTACTGCTCCACATCCACAAGGTTTAGCACCTTTCTTTGCTGGCCAATGGGGTGTTTATGCACAAAATCCAGATTCTAGCAGCCATATCTTTGGTACTTCAGAAGGAGCTGGTACTGCTATCTTAACTTTCTTAGGCGGTTTTCATCCACAGACACAAAGTCTTTGGTTAAGCGATATAGCTCATCACCATCTAGCAATTGCTGTAATATTCATCGTTGCTGGACATATGTATCGTACCAACTTTGGAATTGGACATAGTATGAAAGAGATTATGGAAGCACATATTGCTCCAAGCGGTCGTATGGGCGGCGGTCACCAAGGCCTATTTGACACAGTGAATAATTCTCTTCATTTCCAATTAGGATTAGCATTAGCGTGTTTAGGTGTTATCACTTCTTTGGTAGCTCAGCACAGCTATTCCTTACCTTCTTATGCATTCATAGCTCAAGATTTTACTACTCAAGCAGCACTTTATACTCACCATCAGTATATTGCTGGCTTCATCATGACAGGAGCTTTTGCTCATGGTGCAATTTTCTTTATCAGAGATTACAATCCAGAGCAAAACAAAGGAAATGTATTGGCTAGAATGTTGGAACACAAAGAAGCTATTATTTCTCACCTAAGTTGGGCTAGCTTATTCTTGGGCTTCCATACACTTGGTCTATACGTACATAATGATGTTGTACTGGCTTTTGGTACTCCAGAAAAACAAATCCTAATTGAACCTGTTTTTGCTCAGTGGATTCAATCTACTCATGGTAAGGCTTTATATGGATTTGATGTATTACTTTCTTCCAGTTCTAGCATTACTATTACTGCAGGAAAAAGTCTATGGTTACCAGGGTGGTTAGATGCTATTAATAACAATAGTAATTCTTTATTCTTGACTATTGGCCCAGGGGATTTCTTAGTACACCATGCAATTGCTCTAGGTTTGCATACAACAACCTTGATTCTTGTGAAAGGTGCTTTAGATGCTCGTGGATCTAAATTAATGCCTGACAAAAAGGAATTTGGATTCAGCTTCCCTTGTGACGGTCCAGGTAGAGGTGGAACTTGCGATATTTCTGCTTATGATGCTGTTTATCTAGCTGTTTTCTGGATGTTAAATACTATTGGATGGGTAACCTTCTACTGGCATTGGAAACACTTAGCTTTATGGCAAGGTAATGCAGCGCAATTTAATGAATCTTCTACTTACTTAATGGGCTGGCTTAGAGATTATCTATGGTTAAACTCATCTCAGTTAATTAATGGATACAACCCATTCGGTATGAACAGTTTGTCTGTATGGGCTTGGATGTTCTTATTTGGACACCTTGTTTGGGCTACAGGTTTCATGTTCTTGATCTCTTGGCGTGGTTATTGGCAAGAATTGATCGAGACATTAGCTTGGGCTCATGAACGTACTCCATTAGCTAATCTTGTGCGTTGGAAAGATAAACCAGTAGCTCTTTCTATTGTGCAAGCTAGATTAGTAGGATTAGCTCATTTCTCTGTAGGTTATGTATTTACCTATGCTGCTTTCCTAATTGCATCTACCTCAGGTAAATTCGGTTAAGGATATGTCAACATCATAACTGCTTACTATTTTGTAAAAATCTATTTTTGAGATATTAAGAAAATAGTAAGTTTTTTAGGCTATCCCACCTCTCAAGAGGTGGGATAGCCTGAAATTCACTATATAAGCTTCTTCCGTTATTTTTATTTTTTATAAACAATATGGCTAAAAAAAGTATGATTGAAAGGGATAAGAAACGTGAAAGATTAGCATCTAAATACTATGAGCGTCGTCAGGAATTAAAAGAACAAATTAAGACAGTTTCATCAATTGATGAAAAATGTCAATTGCATAGAGAATTGCAATCTTTGCCACGAAATAGTGCGCCTAATAGAATTACTCGTCGTTGTTTTGTAACAGGAAGACCAAAAGCAGTTTATCGTGACTTTGGCTTGTCAAGACATGTATTGCGTGAAATGGCACATGCTTGTTTATTACCTGGTGTAACTAAATCAAGTTGGTAAAACAAATATGGGAGTAGTCTACTCCCATATTTGTTGTGGTTCGAATAGAATTTATTCTATCTGATATACAAAAAAATTATTGATATAAAGAGTGAAAGTTGGATTTGACAACATTGCAATCTCCTTAGAAGAAGGAATATATACATATAACTTCTTATTGTTGACAACTTGCAAACATAGATTATAATACCTTTTAGAAGAAATTTGTAAAATAGGGAACATGAAACTAAAATTAGTTCATCTTTATTTTTTTTGAAACTAAATCAAAAAAACAATTTGTATTTCCCTGTTACAGCAAGCACATAAATAAATGTATTATTTCTATTTTCTTTAGTTCATGATGATTATTATCATCATGTTTTATCAAGAGAAACGATCTTCTGTGTATATCTTTTCAACAAAAAGATATAGATAATTAGTTGATTTTTTGTAAGAATTAGAATAGGATTCTCCTATTCTAAGCTTAGCTGTCTCTGTATGAGAATTGTCTAATTATCTTAGAAAATACTCAAGTTGCTGTTATCAAAAGCTGCAAAGAAATACATTATATGATATGTATTATGTATTTTTTAGAGACAGTTTAAGTTATAAATGTTTTTCTTTAATTGGTAGAACTGTGTTCTACATGGTATGATAAGATAAACGTTTATTGACATTGCTTTTTGGTGCTACTATCACACCCAAGAGACATCATGAGTTACTAATTGCTAAAATGTTTGTACATTTAGGCATACACGGGGAGACTTGTAGAATACACAGCCTCCTTGGTCTTATTTGAAGGAGAAAAGTAATGAACCCTTTGATCTCTGCTGCTTCCGTGATCGCTGCTGGGTTGGCTGTAGGTCTAGCTTCCATTGGTCCTGGTATTGGACAAGGAACTGCTGCTGGACAAGCTGTAGAAGGTATTGCAAGACAACCAGAAGCCGAAGGTAAGATCCGAGGCACTTTGTTACTTAGTTTGGCTTTCATGGAAGCTTTGACTATCTATGGACTAGTAGTAGCTTTAGCTCTTCTATTTGCAAATCCTTTTGTATAGTTCTATACACAAAGCTTTTAGCTTGTCTAGCACATAGGTTTTGCTATGACTATGTTTCATAGAAAGACTGAAGTTGATTTTTGACTTTAAGTAGACAGGCATAGGGAAAAACAAGTTATTTGGGGGAAAGATGCCGATTGTATGCTTTTCATTTTGATCATAAGAGAATCTATGTTCAAACAAGAATGCTCTAAATTACAAATGAGAAATAATGCATATCGGCATCATTTGGTATATTGTTTTATACATATTTTTCTGATATTCAGGAGATTAATCTAGTTGAAAAACTCATTCTAATATTTGCTATTACATAATACGTATAAGAAGATGTACTAGACCCAAGAACTTAAATCATGAGGTAATATAAATTTCCTGACATTTTAGTTAAACCTCATATAAGTAGCATTATGTAGAAAATGGACCTTATTGGAGAAACAGGGTATGAACAGCGCAATTGACTTGATTGCTTCGTTGGATTCTTGGGCTCTGGCAAATGAGGGGCTAAGCCTCAATACCAATTTGCTAGATACTAATTTGATCAATTTAGCAGTAGTGATCGGTGTATTAGTTTACTTTGGTAAGGGAGTGTGTGCGGGATGAATATTTGAATGACATGGTTGGAAAAAAATCCAACTACACTCTGACTATAAAGTGTATGATCCTCACGAATGACTCACAAAGAAGAATCTTTGTATGGACAAAAGCATTTCGTTGAATATTAAGTTAAAGACACTATTAACTTTCTATAATGAGGAAAAATCTACTAGGTTAAGGCTCTATTGCTTGAAGTCTAAGTATTGCTGGAGCTTTCTTTGCTCAATAAGATAATTACAAATCTTAACCTTGTTGGAGATTTTTTCGGTACAGAACACTCGTATCGAGATTATAAGGGAATTCATTCAATGAATTCATCAGTCAGAATCTTCCAGAATATATTCAAGAAATACACTTGATAACAATATACTAAATAGACAACCTTAAGATTTTTTATAGTGATTCGAAGAAAACAACCGTGCTGATCAAAAACAAATGGTCAGGAGAACCTTGAAATCGCATTTGCAATGAAAGGTACGTTCAAACATTTGTGTATAAGTCATTTAGGATACAAAAAACATGTCTTTTTTGCCTTTTCTATAAGTTGCAAGAAAAAGAATATATACATGTTTCTTATCGGGCTTTAATTACACATGGGTGAACGAGAGAGCCGGGTGAATCGAGAAGATTCATGTCCGGTTTGGGAAGAGATAGTTAAGCTAATGCATTAGCATAGATTAGCAATCTACTTCATTAACTAATATCTTAAATAATCGCAAAGAAACTATATTAAGCACCATTCGCGATGCAGAAGAACGTTACCAAGAAGCGACTGAAAAGCTAAATCAAGCTCGAGCTCGTTTAGAACAAGCAAAAGAAAAAGCAGAAGAAATCCGTGTTAATAGCATATTGCAAATTGAGAGAGAAAAAGAAGAATTAATCAAGGCTGCTGATGAGGATTCTAAACGTTTAGAAGATTCTAAAAATATGACTATTCGTTTTGAAGAACAAAAAGCCATTGTACAAGTACGACAACAAGTTTCTCGATTAGCAGTTGAAAGAGCTTTAGAAGTAATTAATAGTCGTTTGAATATGGATTTACATGCTAGAATGATTGATTATCATATTGGCTTATTTAAAGCTATGGAAAATTCTGCTGAGTAGAAAAAAGAACATATATAGGTGCTATACTTTCAAGATTACACACCACGTCCATGGTAAATATTCGACCTGATGAAATCAGTAGTATTATCCGCAAACAGATTGAGCAATATAATCAAGAAGTTAAAGTTGTTAACATAGGTACTGTTCTTCAAGTAGGAGATGGTATTGCTCGTATTTATGGCCTAGACAAAGTCATGGCAGGGGAGCTACTAGAATTTGAAGATGGTACAGTTGGAATTGCTCTAAACCTAGAGGCAGATAATGTTGGTGCTGTACTTATGGGAGAAGGATTGAGTATCCAAGAAGGTAGTTCAGTTAAAGCAACTGGAAAAATCGCTCAAATTCCTGTTAGTGACGGCTATCTAGGACGTGTAGTTAATGCACTTGGTCGTCCAATTGATGGCAAAGGAGATATCCCAGCTTCTGAATATCGTTTAATTGAATCTCCTGCTCCTGGTATTATCTCTAGACGTTCTGTTTATGAACCAATGCAAACAGGACTTATTGCTATTGATGCCATGATTCCAATTGGTCGTGGTCAACGAGAATTGATCATTGGAGACCGTCAAACTGGGAAAACAGCAGTAGCTACAGATACAATTCTAAATCAAAAAGGACAAAATGTTGTCTGTGTCTATGTAGCTATTGGACAAAAGGCTTCTTCTGTAGCTCAAGTTGTAAACACCTTCGAAGAACGTGGTGCAATGGAATATACTGTAATTGTAGCAGAAACAGCTAACTCACCTGCTACTTTGCAATACCTTGCTCCTTATACTGGTGCGACAATTGCTGAATACTTTATGTATAAAGGACGTCATACATTAGTAGTATATGATGATTTGTCTAAACAAGCTCAAGCTTATCGTCAAATGTCTCTACTTCTAAGACGCCCACCTGGACGCGAAGCTTATCCTGGAGACGTTTTCTACTTACATTCTCGTCTATTAGAAAGAGCTGCCAAATTAAGTAATCAATTAGGTGAAGGTAGTATGACTGCTTTGCCTATTGTTGAAACTCAAGCTGGTGACGTCTCTGCTTATATCCCAACAAATGTAATTTCTATTACAGACGGACAAATTTTCTTATCAGCTGATTTATTTAATGCTGGTATTCGTCCTGCTATTAATGTTGGTATTTCAGTATCTCGTGTAGGATCTGCAGCGCAGATTAAAGCAATGAAACAAGTTGCAGGTAAATTGAAACTAGAGTTAGCTCAATTTGCAGAATTAGAAGCTTTTTCACAATTTGCTTCTGATCTTGATAAAGCTACTCAAAACCAATTAGCTAGAGGACAACGTTTACGTGAGTTGCTTAAACAGCCTCAAGCTGCACCTTTAGCTGTAGAAGAACAAGTAGCAACTATCTTTACTGGAGTTAATGGCTATTTAGATGTAATTGAAGTTGCACAAGTTAGAAGATTCTTGGCTGAATTACGTCATTATATCGTGACTAATAAACCTGAATTTGGTAAAATTATTCGTGAAAAGAAAACTTTTACAGATGAAGCACAAGCTATTTTGAAGCAAGCTATTCAAGAACATACAGAAGCTTTCTTATTACAGGAAGAATCTGGAGCTGCTGCTCGTTAATTTAAGATAAAGTAGTTATATGACTAAATATATGACCTTTCAAATATAAATAAAGTGCATATATTTAGTCATATGATATATTTTTGTCTATTTTGGTATGCAAGAATACCTTTTCTCATAACTAACAGTTTTAATAAACTCTTAATATTGCGTCCAATAGGAATCGAACCTATATTGGAGGTTTAGAAGACCTCTGTCCTATCCGTTAGACGATGGACGCTTCGCTTACATATAGGT